TTCCCGGGCTGCCGTGGGCAACAAGATGTTTGTCAAGGTCAGAAATCAGCTTGTACCTCCATCCCCTTTTGTCCTTACCACTGGGCCCTCTCCTCTGTCTGCCCCCTCACCGCAGCTCAGGTGCCAGCCTCTCTTCTGGTCCTCTAGGGTGCCCCTGAGGGGGTCATTGACCGCTGTAACTACGTGCGAGTGGGCACCACCCGGGTGCCGCTGACAGGCCCCGTGAAGGAGAAGATCATGGCGGTGATCAAGGAGTGGGGCACAGGCCGGGACACCCTGCGCTGCTTGGCCCTGGCCACCCGCGACACCCCGCCCAAGCGAGAGGAGATGGTGCTGGATGACTCCTCCAAGTTCATGGAGTACGAGGTGAGCAGATGGGACCACCCGCCAGCCTGGAGTGCATCAGGGGCAGCCTCTTAGTGCCCTCTGTCTGTCCCCTGCTATCTCCCACTTCCTCAGTCAGTGGGTCACAGAGTGTGGGACGTTAGAGTCTGAAAGAACCGTAGGCGTTGCCTGGCCCGTGTTACTTTCATTTGATTTGTGTGTGATGTTGCACATGCTAAGTACACCGTATCACTGAGCTGCACCCCCGAACCTGCCCCCGAAGCGTCCCTGTGACGTAATGAGGCTCTTCTGTCACTGAACCCCGGGTAGGGGCGCAGCTAGCACTATTCATGCAGCGAGACCGTCTCCAGGCAGTGGGTGTTTGTCATGGACACCGAACAGCACAAAAGCCCACTGCCTTCGTGGTACAGAGGGGACATGGTGGCCCAGCGGGTCACAGGGATGTGCCAAGACCTGAAACAAAGCCTGGCATTGTGGCACACACCTGAGATCCCAGCACTCAGGAGACTGAGGCAGGAGGATCGTTGCAAGTTCAAGACCAGCCTAGGTTACAAAGTGAGCTCAAGGCCAGCCTGAGCTGCATGGCAAGACCCTGTCTCAAAAAGACAAAAAAAAAAAAAAAAGTAAAAAGTTGGGCCAAGTGATGGTGCTGCCCAAAGCAGAAGCCGCTGTTCTTACTTCTAGCTCATGAGGTTTCTATGAAAGCTACATTTTGGCTGGAGATATAGCCCAGCGGCATAAGCACCTGCCTGGCAAGCGCAAGGTCCTGAGTTCAACCCCCGGTACTCTCCCCCACCCCCGCACACACACACAGAAGAAAGGTACAATCTGGCATTTGCAGCAAGCCTGGCACTGCCAGGACCTGCAAGTACTTTTAGGCACAAGAAACACTTCTTTTTTTTTAAGAATTTTATTTATTTATTTATTTATTCATTGTTTGTGTGTGTGTGTGTGTGTGTGTGTGTGTGGCCAGCTCAGCCCACCAGGGGGCAGGGCTGGCTGGCATGTGGTGCTGGGGGATTGAACCGCGGTCCCTGTGCTTTGCCAAGCTTGTTCCAAGTAGGTGCTTTAGACCACTGAGCCATCTCTCCAGCCCAAGAAACACTTCTGATGCCATTGCAATCCAATACCCGGCCCCGCAGCCACCAGCCCCAGCCCCTGACATTTCTCTCTGCCCCCCAGCTTCCCCCTGGGCTCAGTTCCCGGAGTACCTTCCTGACCTGTGGCTGTCTGCTGTCTCCACAGATGGACCTGACATTCGTTGGCGTGGTAGGCATGCTGGACCCGCCGCGCAAGGAGGTCACAGGCTCCATCCAGCTGTGCCGTGACGCCGGGATCCGGGTAATCATGATCACTGGAGACAACAAGGGCACAGCCATTGCCATCTGCCGGCGAATTGGCATCTTCACCGAGAGTGAGGAGGTGACTGACCGCGCCTACACAGGCCGGGAGTTCGACGACCTGCCTCTCGCCGAGCAGCGGGAAGCCTGCCGCCGCGCCTGCTGCTTCGCCCGCGTGGAGCCCTCGCACAAGTCCAAGATTGTGGAGTACCTGCAGTCCTATGATGAGATCACGGCCATGGTAAGGAGCGTGAGCTGGCCGTCCTGGCTTGGGGCTGTCCTGCGTGTTCGCCGAGATGGCCCTCTTGGTAATACGCAGAGAGGATTGGGCTCTGGCGTGGTGTGGAACAGTTCGAGCCCCTCCTCCCTCTTCCCTCAGACAGGGGACGGTGTCAATGATGCCCCTGCCCTGAAGAAGGCTGAGATTGGCATTGCCATGGGATCTGGCACTGCTGTGGCCAAGACAGCCTCTGAGATGGTGTTGGCTGATGACAACTTCTCCACCATTGTGGCTGCCGTGGAGGAGGGCCGCGCCATCTACAACAACATGAAGCAGTTCATCCGCTACCTCATCTCCTCCAATGTGGGCGAGGTGGTGTGGTGAGCGGCCGGGGCCAGCACTCGGAGCGGGGGACAGGGGCTGGGCAGGGTAACTAGGGCCTCGGCGGGACAGACATGGGCTCATCTCTTCCTGGCAGTATCTTCCTGACGGCGGCCTTGGGGCTGCCCGAGGCCCTGATCCCAGTGCAGTTGCTGTGGGTGAACTTGGTGACCGACGGGCTCCCAGCCACAGCCCTGGGCTTCAACCCGCCTGACCTGGACATCATGGACCGGCCTCCCCGGAGCCCCAAGGAGCCCCTCATCAGTGGCTGGCTCTTCTTCCGATACATGGCCATAGGGGGTGAGCAGGAGAGGGCTCCACAGTCCTGCTCAGGCCTTGGGGCTGTCCCCTTCCCCATGGCGCCAGCTCCCCCATAGCTTCCTCTTGAGCCAGCTGACCCCAGCTGTGTAGCCTCCGGTCACCCCAGGCCCAACCCAACTCCCACCTTCTCTCCCCCACAGGTTATGTGGGTGCAGCCACTGTGGGAGCCGCAGCCTGGTGGTTCCTGTATGCAGACGACGGCCCACATGTCACCTACCACCAGCTGGTAGGGTGGTGCAGGGGTGGGCGCCAGGAGGGTGGCACAGAGGTGCCCACAGGGTCTCAGGCTCCTGTTCCTTCCTCTGCAGACCCACTTCATGCAGTGCACAGAGCACAACCCCGACTTTGACGGTCTGGACTGTGAGGTGTTTGAGGCCCCCGAGCCTATGACCATGGCCTTGTCTGTACTGGTCACCATTGAGATGTGCAATGCTCTCAACAGGTAGGGCGTGTGTGCCTGCACCCGACGTCTCCTCAGAGGCCTTTGCCTTTGTCCCTGACCTCCCGCCCCTTCTTCCCCTCACTTGGCTTTCTCCTTGTGTCCTTCTCCCTTGGTGTCATGACCTCTATGGCAGCCTGTCTGAAAACCAGTCCCTGCTGCGGATGCCGCCCTGGGTGAACATCTGGCTCCTGGGCTCCATCTGCCTGTCCATGTCCCTCCACTTCCTCATCCTCTATGTCGACCCCCTGCCGGTGAGCAAGAAGCCTTCTCCTGTTTCTTGATTGCCCTGATGTGTGGGTGGGGGCCACCCATGCTCAAGGTGCTAACCACGGTTGAGGCGCTGATAGGATGGTGGCATGGGCCAGGGCAGCCAGGCACCTGGCTCCCTTTGCACCTGCTCCTGAGGGGACAGTGCCTGTCCTCATGGCTGCTGTCCCCACTACAGATGATCTTCAAGCTCCGGGCCCTGAACATCACGCAGTGGCTCATGGTCCTCAAGATCTCCTTGCCTGTCATCGGGCTGGATGAAATCCTCAAGTTCGTTGCCCGGAACTACCTGGAGGGTAAGGAGTGCCCCTCCTCTGACCCAGCACACCCTGGCCTCCCCCGCGCCCGCCCCTGACCTCTTCCTTTGCAGGTGGGTGAGTTCCAGCCCTGGCAGGGACTGCTGTCCCCAGGGCAGGGCAGCCCAGGCCCTCCCACTCCTGCTGCGCCTGGTGGAGCCGTGCTCCCCAGGGTGGCCCTGGCCTCTCAGTTTTCTTGGCCCTGCAGGCCACTTTCCTCCTCCATAACGGTTCTCTCTGTCCTCTCTGGCCATAGGATAACTGTTCCCCCTCCTCCATGTCTTTGAACCCGTGTCACAGGTATCACCCCCTTCTTTGCCCTTGCTCCAGCTGCTGTGCCCTGCCCCCTGCCACCTAGCCCTCTTCCGTGCAGCTGAAGTCACTTGCGCTCGCAGCTCTACCTGGAGCCACTACCGCTGCTGCCCCTGCCGCGCTTCTGCGGGGTGGGCTGTGCGTGCGCCACGGGCGCTGGCACCGCTGCCCAATCCTCTAGCCCTGGTGGCCCTGCTGTGGCCTCCAGGCACAACCGCTGCGCTGCGTGGCGCTCGCTGTCTCTGCTGCTGGGGCTGCACTGGGGGGGGGGTAGGGTCTGGGATGTAGGTGAGTGCGGGAGGAGGGCGCCTAGGTAAGCTCTGTGAGAGGCACTGGGAGGGACCTCTCAGCCCCCCTGCTCCTTTCATCCTACGTTTTTCTCCTTCCAGACCCCGAAGATGAAAGAAGGAAGTAACCAGCCCCTTGGCCCCTTCCTCCCCACCCTGAGTGATGCATCTTCAGCCCAAGCTGTGGCACAGACCCCTCCCCCTCCCTCATGTGTCTGTTTATAAATACGAGGTTCCCTTCTCTGCCCCCACTCCTGCCACCCGCCCTCCCTCTGAAACCTCTGACCCACCCTCCCCAGACCCCGTGGGGCTTGCAGGGACAAGGCGACTGAGCTGAGCTGCTTATTTATTGAAAATAAAGGACAGAAAATCTGGCCTCGCCGCCACGCGCGTCTTGAGCCTGCGAACTAGCGTCTTAGTGTCATGCAGTCCAGAAAGCAGCCACCCATCGCAGGCTCTGTTCAGGGGCCTGCTAATGTTTAAGAGGCTTCCAGCCACCACCTGGCCAGCTCGGCTGTGCCTGGGGGCAGCACGGCAGCCAGAGAACCACAGGGCTCAACCTGCACCTCTGGCTCCTGGAGGGAGTTGGGACCCTCGTCCTGGTGTCAGCCCTGAGAGCAGAAGGCCTGGCCACCCTGGGAAGCAGCGCTGGGCAGTGGCGGCCCCTCAGACTGGGCTTGGAGGGCAAGGACGCCACCTAAGACCCCAGTGCCTCCCAGTTCTGTTGAGGAGAAAGGCAGTTCTGCGCAGGGTGGGGGGGGGGCTTCTTGCTGGCCCCTCAGGTGTCCTTGATGTCCCTGACGTCCCTCAGGGGCGCCTCATCCATGATACTGCGCACCTGCTCCAGGGTCTCTGCCTGGCGGACCCGCTCCAGGCGCACCTGTGGGGTCCGAGAGGGATGCAGAGGGCCTCTGGTGCATAAAGGTGGCCCTACCCCAGCAGGTGGCCCCTGAGGGCAGGCCCCAGAGCCACCTCCCTCCCACCACACCACCCAGGGTCCAGGGCAGCAGTGGGTGCCAAGCACACATTCGGGGCAGTTGGTACAGCTGGCCACCTTGGGCCTGTGCTAAGGCTGCTACGGGACTGTCCAAGACGCATGCACAGCTTTCACGTTTCCGGAGCTATACCTCTGTGGGAAGCACCATGCAAACTATAGAAGGAAAGGACCCCCCTAACCAGGGGACCATCCCTGCACAAGCGTCCTGTGCCGTGGGAGGGGCCCACCGTACCTGCAGGGCTTGGGACAGCCGCACAAAATCCCTCTGCACTTGCTCACTGGTCTCCAGCTCAGCCTGCAGCCGCAGCACCTTGGCCCTCTGTTCAGCGAGGAGGTCTGTGAGCTGGGCCTGCAGGACAGGATGTGGGGCTGAAGCCTGGCACAGGTGTAGCCTAGGTCTGACAGCATGCGGCCACAGCAGGGGAAAGTCACCCCAAGTGCCATTCACCACCCAGCGATGAACTCCTCTGTCCTACTGGAGCCTGGGGCTGCCTCAGGCTTGCCAGAGACTGAGGGTGGAACTGGCTGGCTAGGGTCTGCTCCACACAGCCACTCGGTCCCTCACCATCACAGTGGGGGCTGGGTTCCACCTCACCTTGCTCTGTTCCTGCTGGATCCGCTCCATCTCCGTCCTCAGGCTGCACAGGGAGGCTGGGAAGTCAGGCGCAAGGGGGCCGGAAGTCAGGCCCACCCAGGTGCACACCCCACCAAGGCAGGCCCCAGGCAGACTGGCCCATACTCACCTTCCAACACCTCTGCAAGGAGGAAGGAGAGAGAGAGAGAGGTCACAGTTGTTCCTCGCACTGTGTGTGTCATAGTCCCCACCTTGCCCAGGCCTGCGTGTCCCTGCCCTCTCCCCTCACCTGTCTCCTCCCGCTGCACCCGCAGCTGTCCCTCCAGGCTGGCCCTGGCCGCCGTCTCCTCCTCCAGTGCCTCGCGCAGCGTCACAATCTCGATTCGCAGGCGCTCAGCCCCGTGCTCCTGGGCCTGCCGGCGGGCATGCGCCTCCTGACGCGTTCGGTGCAACAGCTGCTGCAGCTCCTGGAAGACAAGGACCGGGAGGGCAAGGGCAGGGGGCAGGGGGTATGGAGAGTAAGAAACTGCTGAAACAGGAAGGGGGTGGTGCACACCTATAATCCCAGCATTCGGGAGGCTAAAGCAGGAAGGCCTCATGAGTTCAAGGCCAGCCTGGGCTACAAAGTGAATTCACAGCCAGCCCGAACTGTACAGCAAGACCCTGTCTCAGTGAACAAATGAATGAATGAATGAATGAATGAATGATGAATAAATGAATAATAAATGAATGAAGAATGAACAAACAGGAAAGAGCCCGAATGCCATGGCAGGAAGGACAGGTGAACCTGCTGCAGTTCCACCATGGAGTCGAGAACCACAGCCACACCACCACAGAAAAGAGCAAGGTGGCCAAGCAGCCGTGGAATACACGAAATGTGCAGAAGCACTGTACCTGTAACTTGTAATACTCAGAGAGGGAGGGGCCCTGGGGAATTTATACTTTTAATGAATCAATTTATCAATGAATCCTATTATTACTGAATCAACAATGGGCATGCATAGATCAATGAAGATGGCCTGTTTAGGACCCAAAGATCACAGCGAACTGAATCTTAAAAGCTCTCATGTCACTTGAAAATAGCAAGCAAATGGCCTTGTCCTTGGGGGAAAGGCTAACTCTTTCTCTTGCTATGCTAACACTGGGAGGTGTATGGTGCCATGCTCAGGTGAGGAAGTGGGCCTGCAGCAGTCGAGGGATTTGGCCAAGGTGAAACAGCTACTGTACCACACGCCGACCACGATCCCCAGGCCCGCGGCGCTAGCCTAGCTCCACTGTGCTTGGAGAGAAGCGTGGACGGGGCAGCTGCACCCGCTCACCTGCACGGAGCCAGGCAGCTGCTCCTCCTCGCCTTCGAGCTGCTCCTGGCCCTGGGCAGCTGCGGGGGGCAGCTGCTCGGCCCGGAGCCCTTGGTTCTCCTCATTCAGCCGCTTCACCTCATGGCGCAGGCACTTGTGGGAGGTGGCCAGCTCTGCCTGCGGACAGAAAGCAGTACCAGGCAAGGAGGGCACAGGGCGCCTCCAGCAAGCCCACATGCCCCAGTCCACTGCCAAGGACAGAAAGCCTCTTTGTCGCCTGTCTTTGTCTTCAATCCTATATACCCTCCCTGATGACTCAGGGTCAGTGGCCACCAGAACCATGTTGGCTATTGTATTTGACCCATATACTTTTTTTTTTTATATTTATTTATTTTTATTTATTACATTTATTTATTGTGTGTGTGTGTGGCCAGCTCAGCCCACCAGGGGGCGGGGCTGGCTGGCATGTGGTGCTGGGGATCGAACCGTGGTCCCTGTGCTTCGCCAAGCTTGATTCAAGTAGGTGCTTTAGACCACTGAGCCATCTCTCCAGCCCCGACCCATATACTTTTTTAAAAAAATTTTATTTTTTAAAATTTTGTTTATTTATTTATTTTGTGTGTGTGTGGCCAGCTCAGCCCACCAGGGGGCGGGGCTGGCTGGCATGTGGTGCTGGGGGATTGAACCACCGTCAGAGCTGTGCTTTGTTTAGCTTAGCTTGTTCTAAGTAGGTGCTTTAGACCACTGAGCCATCTCACCAGCCCCTGACCCATATACTTTTAAAGTCTAATTTAACAAAATGTAATTAAATTATTTATTTATTTATTTATTTCTGCGGAACTGGGGATTGAACGCAGGCCCTTGCGCTTGCCAAAGAAGCGCTTATTCTACTGACCATCTCCCTGGCCCCTAACTTAGGTATTTCATTTATTCATTGTGGTACTAGGGATTGAACCCAGGTTCTCATGCGTGCTAGGCAAGTCCTCTAGCACTGAGTTACATCCAACCCTTTTAAAATTTCTAAATTGCCCAAGCTGGTCTTGAACTTGAGATCCTACTGCCTGAGCCTTCTAAACCCCTGGGATTACAGGTATACACCATCATTTGAGCCTGGGCACTTTGGTGGGTTGTTTTTGTTTTTGGGTTTTTTTTTTTTTTTTAGCTTTTTTAAAATAGGGTCTCACTATGTACTTCAGGCTGGCCTTGAACTCACTACAGGGCCTAGTCTGGGTTCACACTTGTGGCAATCCTCCTGCCTCAGCCTCCTGAATGCTGGGATTACAGGTGTGTGACACTCTCTGGCGACTTCTGGATTCTCTTGAAAAATCAGAATATATACATGGGCACGGTGGCACACTTGGGAAGCTGATGAAGGAAGACTGCTTGGAGTTCCAGGCCAGCCTGGGCTACATAGTGAGAATCTGTCACAAAAAAATAAAAACAAACAACAAACTAAAATCTGACTATCTGGCTGCTTGGAGCCAGCATTCCTGGGCAGGAGGGACAGGGTGGCTATGGGCAGCAGCCACTAGCACAGGCCCCAGGTGCCTTCTGCTCCTTCCTGTCCCATACCTGGCCCTGCGTTGGTCTTGGGAAGGACCTGAAGTGCGGACAAACATCATGATTGCAAACCAGGGACACTCCAAGGTTGTAGGACTAGTTCAAGATCACGTAGTTCTGGCCTGGCCTGGCTGCTCCATGCCCTTTACCTATTTGGCACTGATGCCAGATGGAGTCCAGAGCAGCTGGGGGCAGGAAAGGAGCCTGACTTTCAGGTGTCCCCACCAGTTCCAACTCCCTCCGCCTGCACCCCAAGCACTCACCATCTGTAGCTGCACCCGCTCCTGCGCCTGGCTCACGGTGCCCTGCAGGGTCCGCAGCAGCTGCTCCGAGTTCTGGACCTGGGCCAGCAGCACTTGCATCTGGGGTGGGAGGCAGGCGCTGTGAAGCCAGAGGACCCTGGGGTTGGCCGCACCCAGCAGACCTACAGGGCTGAGCAGCCGCCAGGACCCACCTGCTTGGTGCAGTCTTCATTGCTGCGTCTCAGCCCCTCTTGCAGCTCATCCCGCTCACGGCTGACGCTTTCCAGGTCCTTCTGCAGCTGCCGGCCCTGCCGCAGAGCCGAGCTCAGGCCCCATAGCCAGGGGCCTTCCCTCCTCTGCAGGCTTGGACCGCACTAGCATCCACATCCGTCCTCAGCTGGAAGCCGGGACTCAGGCTGGCCTTTTCCCCTCTGCTGCCCACCCCGCCCCCAGCAGGCGCTGCCCACCTTGCTCCCAAGTAGGTTCCAAATCCACCTTCTTCTTTCCCTCCCTCCCCTGCTGCCACCTCCTGGTCTAGACAATGCCCCCCTCCCCTTGGCTGTGGTACCAGGAATTGAACCTAGGGCTTCACACTAAGCTACATCACGGCATTATTATTTTGAGACCAGGTATCATTAAGCTGTTAAGTTGCCCAGGCTGGGCTCCAACTCACAATCCTCCTGCCTCAGCCTCCCATAGTACTGAATGACCTTCTACATTACACTCCCAACAGGTCTCTCCACTTCTCCCATCATCAGTTCTGCCCCAGCCTGTGCTTCCATAGAGGCCCAGAGCGCAGCAGCCTCTCCCCACCCTCCAGCCCTCCAGCCTGCACACACTTCGGCTCCCAGGAACTCCCTCCCTGTTGCGGCTTCCCCACTCTGGCCAGGTCCGAGGCCCACAGCTGGCAGCCTTCCCCACTACCACGCACCTCCACCTGTAGCTGCTCCCACTGGGTGTCCGGGACAAGCTGGTAACCGGGAGGGGGCAGGTAGATGCCCTCGGGGACCAGGGTCCCAGTGGACACCAGAGAGGCTGTCTCTTCCTGCTCAGGGCTCAGGCCCCGGCGGCCGCGGGGCAGGGACGCGCTGCTGCTGGCACCACCAAGGGAGAAGGAGGAGATGGAGGCGCTGTCGTCACAGTTGTGGGCAAAGGCCTCGGCTGCCGGGCCCCCGCTCGGCTCCTCCAGGGGCTCCAGTGGGGGAGACGGGTTTCGGGACAGCAGCAGCAGCTCCGTGGAGCCGTGCAGGGAAGCGGGAGGTGGAGGTCGACCCTAGGGAAAGGCGCAGATCAGAGGCTGGGGCCAGGTGCTGCGGTGCCTTGTCCACGCCCCCAGCACCTAGGCCACGCCCCCAGCACCTAGGCCACGCCCCCAGCACCTAGGTCACGCCCCCCAGCACCTAGGTCACGCCCCAACACCTAGGTCACGCCCCAGCACCCCAGGGCACGCCCAGCACCCCAGGCCTCGCCCCCAGCACCCAGCCGCTCCCCACCTGTATCTCTTGGATCAGCTCCTCCGCCTTCAGCAGCTTCGCCTTGAGCTCCGCGATTTCCTGCTCCATGGGCAGCACGATCTCCCGCAGCTTCTCTGAGTCCTCGTGTGCCTGGAGGGATGCGGCTGGGTAGCGACTGCGCCCTCCGGCCGCTGCACCCTCGGGTCTGCTCGGAGCCGGCTCTCAAGCCTGCCAGCTCTTCAGAAGACTCCTGGAGGGCACCAGCCTCCCCATTTCAGTACAAAAGAGGCAGAGGCGCCCACAGCGTCCTAGAGGTGGCACTGTGCAGGAGGTAGGAGGGCAAACGGCTGCAGGTCTTAGCCCAGCCTCACCACGCCTTTCTTCCCCCACATCCATCTTTTTGATCCCAGAACTTCACATTTTAAACTAGGCACATGGCCTAATTTCTACCACACCATTTGCATTTCTCAGCTTCCCTGTAACTAAACAGGATTATACACCTCAGTTCCACTTCTTGCTATATAAACAGATGTGCCAAGTGTGAAATTCCAGGATAACTCTGCATGGAACACGGTGTGCCTTTCCGTACTCCTCCTTGCTGGCTGGGATGTGGATACAATGGCTGGCACTCAAGCAGTCCTGCTGGACCATAAGACAATCTGCTATCTACAGCAAAACAGCAGTATAGGAGGAGCCTGGGTTCCTAATAATTTGTTTAGCTGCTGTATCAGTGTGGACAAGAAAAATAAACCTTCATCAGATTTAATCCACTGCTAATTTGGGTTTTCAATCACACGCAACCAAAGCTTGTCCTGACAGGTATGATCTTCCACGCTCCCGTCTGTCACCACCACGAGGCTGTTTCTTTTCTGTCATTCCAAGCCTGGGGTCCTGCTGGACTTGTGGAGCCAACAGCCTCTGGACAGCTCCGCCTAGCTCCTTGAGCCTGACACAGCCAGAATGGGCCTTGCTCTCTGGCCTTACTCGGGTGCCAAAAGCACTGGCCCAGCAAGGACAGCCCTGCCCCAGGTGCTCAAGGGAAAAAGCAGCCAGTCACCCTCTCCGGTCACCGCTGTCTTCCAGCTCAGCCGCTTTCACCCCATGAGTCACCAGAGGCTTCTCACACAAGCTCAGTTGAATGGTCTCTGTGTCTCTTTTACTCATTAGTACTGGAGACCAAACTCAAGGAATGTCTTATTTTGAGACAGCGTCTTGCTGTGCTGCCAGGTTGCTGAACCTGGGCTTGAACTTGTGATCTTTCTGCCTCAGCCTCTAGAAGGGCTGAGATTACAGGTATGTGCTGCTGCATCCAGGTCACGACTGCTGTGAACGACAGTGGCAATGACAAAAGAGGCTACATGCCATAAAGATGAAGAATAGAAACTTTACAGCCAGGCCTGGTGGTGCACACCTGTAATTCCAGCATTCAGGAGGCCTAGGCAGGAGGTTCACTGAGACTGAGAGTTCGAGACCAGCCTGGGCCACAGAATGAGCTCAAGGCCAACCTGAGCTGCAGAGCAAGACCCTGTCTCAAAAAGACAAAAAACAAAACAAAACCTTTACAAATACACTGCTAGAGTTTTCAAACCCAACTCCACTCCTTTTTACCTGTACAAACTGAGGTTATTTTATTCGTTGGGTCAGGGTGTCACTATGTAGTTCACCTTGGCCTGGGACTCACTCTGTAGACCAGGCTGGCCTTGAACTCCCAGCAGCCTCCTGAGTGCTGGGATTACCGGTGTGTGCTACCACACCTCGCTCACAAACTCGGAAATCATTCCCATCTGCATGTCCTGCCAGCCCACCTGATGGGGCATGGGGGGAGGGGGCCCATTAAGCCCTCAGCACGGGCTGGTCCCCTCCCTTGTCCTCATGCCAGGCTCACACCTTGCTCCTGCAGATGCTCACACTCAGCTGCCCACCCCGGCAGTTACTACTCAGCATCCCGCATCCCGCGCCAACAGTCCCCTCCAAGCCTCAGGGGTGGGCGGGCGGGCAGGCCATCCAGCCCTACCTTCTCCATTTCCTTCTCCAGGGAGTCCAGGGGGTGGGCCCGCGCCAGCAGCTGCTGCAGGCGGCTCAGCTCCCGCTCCTTCTCCTCACAGTCCTGCTGCTGCTGCTGCCGCTCTTGCTTTAGGGCTGCGAGCTGGGCTTCATAGCTGCTGATGGAGTCTGTGGGGCGGGAGGGGCGGGCTCTTGAGTGCTGCCTCTTTGCAAGGGCTCTGCAGAGGGGCACTACAAGGGCCTCAGACTGGCCTTGGACTGGCCCTGGGACTCTGTTCACGGTGCCCTCACCAGCAATCTGGGGTGCTATGGCTCCACTGGGAGGTTACTCGGTAAAGTGAGAGGACAGCAGGTGAAGGGTTTGGTCCTCTCCTTGCGCATAAGAAGGCCCAATCAGACAACCTGCCTCTCAGATATCTTCAGTTGAAGAACTGGACACTGGATATGTACAACTAAAATTCAAAGTTGAAACATTAATTCACTATTGAGGCTGGTCTTGTACTTGGGATTCCCCTGCCTCAGCCTCCTGGTAGCTGGGATTACAGATACAAATCCTCATGCCAGGTTCGCAACATCATTTTACTTTATGTTTTATTTGTTATTTAATTTTGCATCATTTTAGTCAGCAGAACATCATTCTGATATATACAGGAAACGCAGATGGAAAACACTTTCTAAATCAATCCTACCACAGGAATTCAGCCAAATACAAGTCCCACATGGTGCCAACCTGGGCTGGCAGGAAGCCAAGAGGACACTGAACACTATGACATACAGCACATGGGTCGCAGTGAAGAGTAAAACCAGAAGGAATTACGTCTTTTGAGTCAAGAAGCAAAGTTTGGGTGGAATTGCTAACGATTTCCAAATAACCAATTGGTGGCTTTTTAAAGGGTCATTTGTACATATGACACCAAAAGTCCTTGTTTGCGCCTCCACGCAGTGGCCACAGTGATACTTGATTTTGTAGCTAAAAGAGGATTAGACTAGCACCTAAGAACCTGAAAAGCAAACTCTATCAGATGTCATACTTGCATACTTCACGACAGAAATTGTGGAAATCTAGCCAGGTGTCGTGGCCCACTGGCAATCCCAGCTACCTGTGAGGGCTCAGGAGGACCACTGAGAGTTTGAGGCCAGCCTGGGCTACACAGTGAGACTTGCTCTGAAAATAAGAAAAGGGTTCAGGATGGAGCTCAGGGTTCCCTGGGTTTAACTCCCTGTACCGGGAGCAAGCAAGCAAGAAGAGAAAAAAAGAGGGAGAGAGGAAAATAGTAGATATGGTCCACATTTTGGCCAAAATTCCTTTTATAGCCACAGTCACCTTCTTCTCTGTGACCTTTGCAGAGAAAATTGTCCACAGAATCGATGGGATTACTTGGAGAATCTGATGCATAGAGACAAACTGCCCAATTATTCGCACACTAAGTTCTGAAGACACACTATCAAAGACAAGCCTTGCCACCGGCAGCAGAGAGTGGGGTGGGAAAGATGGCCATGAGGACAGGATGCCATGTGGGGAGAGCTGCAAGCAAGGACCACCCCGGGGCCCACGGGGCCCAGAAGAAGGGGCCCTGGCCTGAGAGGATGCCGGCACAAGGGGAAAGAAAGACACATCCGGTAACAGGACCAGCATGAACAGAAGTGAGGAAGAAGCTGGCATGTCTAGGCAGGGTGCTGGGTGAAGGCACCAGTGAAGGCAAGGTGTGTGTGGGGGGACAGTGGGGGTTGGGAAAGACAGAAACCAGAGACGGGCTCGAGGACTGCGCTGGGGCTGAGCCTGGGGCCCAGAGGGACAGACTAAAAGGAGGATGCTTTGGGGGAACTGAGAGGTTTCTTGTTCACCTTCAGGGTTGAGCAGTCATCAGTGAGGAACAAGAAATGTCACAGGGCAAGGAAACAGACAGAATGGGAGCTAAACTTAGCTGTGGCTGCCGCTGTCACACGTAGGGCTCTATGCAAACTAGGGAAGGGCCCCCCAACTCTGGGCTGACCTCCCACAGCTATCTGATGCCTTTCCTGTCGGGCACCACCCTGAAGAGCCAGGGCACTCTGGGGAGGCTCCCTCACCTTTCAGGATGGCCTGCAGTGAGGCCACCTCCTCTTGGCACTGTCGCTGCACCGCAGCCACAGCCTCCGCCTTCGTGCTCTCGCTCACCTCCGCCACTGCCTTCATGGTCTCCATTTCTGCCAGGGCGCCTGCCAGCTCAGCCCGCAGCCGCCCCAGCTCACCTGACTCGGCCTCCACCTTTGTCTCCTCCTGGGGGCGGCGGTCCAGAGCTGTGGGGAACAGGAGTTAATCCCTCTCCTCCTCACTTCTCGGATTCCCTACATTCCAGGCCACCGACCAAATGAACAGGTGCTGCAACCCACTCTACAGCCACCCCACCCGCACTCCGCCCCGCCCCACTCACCTGGCCCCGCCCCACTCACCTGGCCCCGCCCCCCACTTCGCTCACAGCCCCTCTCCAGAGACCCACAGCTTTCTCATAGGCCCCGCCCTCTCACGCCCCGCCCACCCCTCACTCGCCACTGGCCGCACCCCTGGCCATCAGACCACGCCCATTCCCCCCTGTAATCCCAGGTCCCACCCCCTTTCCCAGTTGCACGACCCCGCCCTCTTTCCTAGTGTGCCTTCACTTCCAAACTGCGGAGTGCCGGGCTTGCTCCACCTCCCGCCCCACCGCTCCACGCGTGCATGGACTCGCTCTCCCGTACCGGCTCCCGGTCGCCGCAGCCCTCCGTCCTCGCCCGCGGCCGCTGGCGCAGCTGCAGCCATCACTTCAGTGCAAACGGCGGATTCCCGCACTCCCTGGTGACGGCGCTCACCGCTTCCGGGTCCTGTCGGCTGTTTCCGGATCCGCTCGGCTGTTTCCGGATGGACCCTGGGCAAGCTGCCCAGGACCGAGGTTGGGGGGATAGCGGAGCGTCGGCCTGAGATTTCCGAGTGGACACGGCGGGGCCCGCTTGCCTGCTGGGCGGCGCCCGCTTGCCTGCTAGACGGCGCGGCCCGGGGACGCCGGCCCCTCAGAGTCCTGCGGGTGTTTCTCTGCGGAGGCCTCTCGGCTTCTCCCCTCTCGGGGATGCTCTGCCCTCGCTGGACCTCCTTGGGGACGCGCCACCCGGCCGCCGCCGGCGACAGCGAAGCGCGCCGTCTCCCTCCGCGTGTGCGACCCGCGGAGCCCGCCTTCGACCTCCGGCCGCCCTTCCGCCGCGGCTGGGCTGGCGTTCCGGCGGGTGGTGGCCGGGCCCTCCCCGCACCTCCGCCCTCCTGCGGCGTCCCTGGGGCCAGGGCTGGGTCGGCTTAGATTTTCGGGGCGCCTCTGAGTCCCGGAGCAGTCAGGCATGGAAGCGGGAATCCACTTCACCACGCCCATGGCCGGGCTGCTTTCTGCTAATCCCCTGTCCCCCCCCAAGCCGCAGATCCTCCTCCGCGGGGCCCGGGTCAAGCTCCTGTTAGCTGCGTCCTCTCCGCTGGGCCCGCGGCAGCTAAGTCCGAGTCCAGAGCCTTGATTCTCCTTCTCCCAAACCTGTTAGCAGAGGGAAAACCCTCCACAAAACTAAAAGGCTGATTTTGCCGCTCTTCTCGGAAGTCCCGCAGACACTACGCGCATGGAGGAGCTCCAAGCTCGGACCCCACCCGCGGCGCGGCACCAGCGCGGTCTTGTGCCAGCGTCTCCGCTGCTGCGCGCTGGCGGTGAAGCAGTGCACAGGGCGCTGGCAGTCCGCGTGGGGGAGTGGGGAGGGAGGGGACAGATACACGGGAGAGCTGGGAGTTAAAACACAGGCCGGTCTCCCAGGCTGTTGAATTAAAAGAGCATATCTGACGACACAAAGAGTCCAGGCATGGCGCCGTGGCGCCGGGAATCGCAGCACTCGAGGCTGAGGCAGGAGGATCATCGAGTTTGAGGCCAGCCTAGGCTAGATAGCGAGTTCAAGGCCAGCCTGAACCATAGAGACCCTGCCTGTCTCTAAAACAAAAACAATAAACAAAATATTAACTAAACCCAGAGCCAAACAACCAAAATCATTAAGATTAAACCCATCAAGGCAGGGGAGTGATGTGTTCTGCTCCAGAGAACTTTCCCAGATTATCAGGGGCAAATTTCAGGTGGCAAAGAACAAATGGAATAGAATCGGAGCTAAAGAAGCCTGGTTATCTTTGCTTTATTAGCGTAGGAAAGTCACACCCCAAGTTATGAGGTAAGACAAGCAGGGCCTGAAGAGGGAGGTATGATGAAAACTAGGCTTGGCTAGAACTCCACCTCCACAGGATGCCTGGACCCTGCCTACCTGCTGTTTTTTGTTGGGGTCACCCCAGGGTTCCTGTTCCCCATGGCCTTTCCCCTTGTGCTGGAACAGGGATTAAAGCCTTGTTTCTGGGCTAAGGTGCTTTTAACATTTTTTTTTTTTTTAATCACAAACTTTTTTTTGGTGGAACCGGGGATTGAACTCAGACCCTTGTGCTTGCCAGGGAAGCGCTTATTCTACTGAGCCCTCTTCTGGAAGCACAAAAACACAAAGTTGGCGACCCTGGGACTCAGCCCCTTGGTTTCTGCTCCAAGCAGCTGGAACAGTCTTCGCACTACAGAGATCATGACTCATGCCTGCTTGAAGTCTTCTATCTATCCAGTTTGAAAATGGACAAAGGGGTGCCTCATTTCTTCGAGACCCAGACTGCCCCTGTGTGCATCCTCTATCTATCGACACTAAATCTTTCTCATGCCTTAGAAACAAAACGAAAAAAAGGAAGAACATAGACCAAGGATAAGAACAGACAGTTCGCTAATGTTACAAAAGGCAAACAGTTTCAAAAAAAAGTTGTTTAACATTAGTTACTAGGGAAATTAATTTAAAGCCACAGGGCGATAACACTATATACCTCTCAATATAATTAAAAGTAATATAAATGGCATGGTAGAGGATGCTTGTAATCTAACTCTGGGAAGCCGCTATAGGAGTATCACAGGCTGGAGCCTACCCTGGGCAATGTGGGGACTTAGAACCATCTCAGAAATAAATAGGGCCAGCAGGACAGCTCAGCGGTCTAAAGTGCCTGCCTTGGCGAGCTTAGGCAAGCACAGGGGCCGCGGTTTGATTCCCGGCACCACATGCTGCGCCAGGCCTACCCTGTGGGGGGGCCGAGCCAGTCCCCCAAAATAAATAGATAAATAAAGCCTGGGGATAAATATAGCTTAGGATAAAGCCTTGGGTTCCATCCTGGCACTACAAATGGTAATAATAATACAAAATAAATTATTTCCCCAGTAGCTTCTTGCTCTCAGTACTAAGTCTCTGTTTCCAGTGTATGTGATGGGGCCTGGAGGAGAAAATGTCGTAGTAAGATACAAGCCTCCGGCAAATTTGGTGAAAGCCTGTCTGGCACTTGTCACTCTTGGCTGTTGTCTTGTAGGCCCTGGATATCCAGTCTTTAGGGTGACCTGGGCCTCATTAAGTGATGAGGATTTATCTTGGACCACATGGAAAACAGCAAAACTTCCTCTTTTATAATAATTTATTAAGTTAGTCTATGAAATAACACAAGCCCAAGTTTAATAATAAGGTAACTTACATGTCTTCCTAATAAAGACAAATACTGCCAGAGGGTTAGCTCAGTGGTGTAAGTGCCTGCCTGGCAAGCGCAAGGTCCCAAGCTCAATCCCCAGTACTGCAATAAATAAAGAAAATAAGATAAGGCAAATACCTGTGTTCACAGGCACACGCACTGGCATGTTGAAATGGTCCTGCTACTTTCTTTTTTTATTATTTATTTATTTATTTATTTATGTGTGTGTGTGGCCAGCTCAGCCCACCAGGGGGCCGAGCTGGCTGGCATGTGGTGCTGGGGGATTGAACCGCAGTCCCTGTGCTTTGCTAAGCTTGTTCTAAGTAGGTGCTCTAGACCACTGAGCCATTTCACCAGCCCCTCTTTTTTGTCTTTTTGAGACAGGGCCTTGCCATGCAGTTCAGGCTGGCCTTGAACTCACTTTGAAGCCCAGGCTGGTCTCAGACTCGAAACCATCCTCGTGCCTCAGCCTCCCAAGTGCTGGGATTACAGGTGTGTGTCACCACACCCCATCCTCTTACTCATTTTTACTCCCCAAGTTGCACAAGCACATATCACACCTGACTCACGCGAGGAGGGGGCTTCCATTATGCTGAGTGGGACAGACGCAGAGGGCAGAGTTAGCTCCACACCCCAACCTTCCCCTCCACACCATCCTGTTGCTGCCTACACAGTCAAGAAATTATTAATTATGTTAACACTTTACAATCCTGGAGGGCCTAATTCCTAGTTGCCCAGGGCTGCAGGCAGCCCACAAGCTGTTCTGACATACCCTTCAGGAGGCCCTGAGAGTCACTGGAGATTGGTGAGCCAGGGAAGCACGTGGCTAATAAGAGATTTCTCAGGAAGCCAGGAGAATCCTGTGGGATTCTCAGTTGTTAAAGAGCACTGACCTTAAAGAAATTCCAGCAGCTGGAGAGATAGCTCAGAGGCATAAGCACCTACCTGGCAAGCATGAGGACCTGAGTTTGATACCCAGCCCCACATGCCGTGTGGTCTTGGCTCCAGATGCAGGTGCCCACAACCCGGCGTGGTGGCCCACGTTGGTAATGCCAGCACTCGGGAGGCTGAGCCAGGAGGATCTCTGCAAGTTCGAGACCAGCCTGGGGGCTACAAAAGTGAGCACAAGGCCAGCCTGAACTGCAGAATAAGACCCTGTCTTTAAAAAAAAGAAAAAGAAAGAAAGAAAGAAAAGAGATTCCAATTGTCTTTGACCTGACCAAGTCCCATCTTTAGAAGATTGAGGAGAGCCTCAAAATAGTGACATTTTGATTAGCTTTGACCATTGACACACAAATTCCACGTGAACTATTACTAGGAGAGAATCGTGACATAGGTCTAGGTCCCCTATGCAGTCCACACGCTTGAAGGACCAGTCTGCACTTATATAGTTATTGAAAACTTTTTTTTTTTTTTGTGGAGCCGGAGATTGAACTCAGGCCTTTGTACTTGCCAGGGAAGCACTTATTCTACTGAGCCATCTCCCCAGCCCCAGTTATTGAAAACTTGTGTCCCATGTGTCCTTACCAACTAGCTCCTCTTGTTCAATGAAATATTAGCAGTTATGATCCAAGTTGGTCATTCTGCTGCAAAACAGGAAAAATTAAAAAGATAAAACAGGACATGGAGTAGGAGCCCTGGGTTTTAAAAATATGTTTGCTTGTTTATGTATTTACTTACTTTCTGTTCCTGGAGCTCGTACCTAGGAACCTTCACTCTGACTAACATCCTCAGCCATTATCATGTAGTTATTCATCTGAGACACAGGGTTTTCATCAGTTGCTCAGGCACGACTGGAACTTGTGAGCCTCTTGCTGCACCCTTTCAAAGTGCTGGGATTACAGGGGTCTCCTGTGAGGCACAGCCCCTGCACCCCGCTCAGCCGTGTGTGCGTGTGTGCGTGCGTGCGTGCGTGCGTGTGTGTATGTGTACCTAGAAGCCTTCCTTCTGCTTCTTTCTCTTTTCCTTTCTCTCTCTGCTACCGGGATTGAACCCTGAGCCTTCGTACTGAGCTACAGCCTCAGCATTTATTTTTTTAAAAGACAGCGTCACGCTATGCAGTTCAGGCTGGCCTTGAGCTCACTTTGTAGCCCGTGTTGCTCTCAAACTCACAGCTATCTCCTCTTGCCTCAGCCTCCTGAGTTCTGGAATTACAGGCTTGTGCCACCACACACAGTTCAGTGAACTAATTCTGATTGTGAAATGAGAGGAGGCAATGAATTCTAGAAAAACTTTGGATGTAAAATGGACTAGCGTTGGTAATTTAGAGTATGTGCTAAAAAGTTTACTTTTATAGGACTGGTCAGAAAGCTCAGCAGACTAAAGCGCCTGCTTAGGCAGAGTGCAGCGGCAGGATTCAGTCCCCTGCCTGCTGTGCCACCCTGCCCATGGGGCATGCTAAGACAGTGATTGAGACTGCACGTGATGGCACACGCCTGGAATCCCAGACCTTGGGAGGCTGCAAACAGGAGAATCATTACGAGTCCGATCTAGTAGTGAGACCCCATAGACCCTGCACTAAATTAATTAATTAATGAAATAAATAAACTTTCCTTTTATGCTTCCTAATTTCTTCCTTCCTTTACTCAACAAGCACTTATTGAGCACCTACTAGGTGCCAGGTACATCTAGGAACAGAGAAGATGCCTACTGTTAAAGACTGAATAGTCTGGTGCCCAAGGTTGATGAGATGACTATTTGAGACTGGGGCAAGTGCTGGAAAGGAAATTAAATAGGGACTTCAGGTCAGAAAAGTACCTGGGGACCCAGAGAGGGTGTCTCTGAGGAAGTGACATTTGCCTTGCTGACAAGAGCCAGTCAAGCAGTGAAACAGCAGGGGCACAGGCCCTGGGGATGGGATGCGTTCCACATGGTGAGCGGGAGGAGAGGGGTGGAGAAGCCGGTGGAAAATGTAGCATCATCCAGCCTCCGGGGGCCAAGGTTTGGAGTTTTATTTTGGGCGGATGAAAAGCCCCTGCAGTGTTTTAGGACAGGGACTGCCATACTCTGGCAAGAGCTAAGCCCGGCAGCTGGGAAGCTAATGCGGGGATTCGAGAGATTTTGCTGAGTGAAAGGCCAGTGGGGATCGGCTGCTCACTGTCTCTGTTCCCCGCGCCAGCTCTTCCGCCTCCCAGGGCTCTCAACCCAGTTAAAGGGAAGTAGGGGGCCCAGCCACCTGTAAGGGTCCCCTGGGGTTCGCCAGGGCAAACAGGAAGCCACAGCCCAGCGAGACAGGCCTGGGAATCGACAACTGAGAATGTGGTCACTTGGGTCCTGGACCCTTTGCTTGCCTTCAATCACACACACACACACACCCCATAGGGCAGAGGTGCAGCGTGGCATCATATGCCCTACCCCCACCCCTGTAGAGAGAGGGAGGGAGGGAGGGATTTAGATGTCAGGACTCCCGGGTTTGTCCTGCTGACTCCTGGGTTGTCCTGCTCACGAACACCAGCTGGATGTGTGACCTTAGGCGGGTCACTTCCATAATGAAAGCAGGACTTCTTGGGCAAGAAAAGGACATTATCCTGATATATATATATATATATATATATATATCTCAGGATCTCTGTAGTCCCCACTAGTCTCAAACTTGTGACCCTCCTACCTCAGCATGCCTGGCCCATCAGGCATTCATGGCCAAGGACTGTTACAGAGAAGCTATGGGGCCTCTTGTCCCACACACAGTTGTCCAGCCCCTTCCCATTATGATTTACATTGGCTGATTTAGCCCCATAATAACCCATGGGGTGAGCCGCTCTTGTGTCCTGCTTTACAGGAGAGAAAACTTGTCTGTGGGGTGAGCCACGGCACCTGGCTTGGGTTCTGAACTCTTAATCGATGCTGTCAGTTATTAACTAAACGTCTACTAACCCCCAGCTCACAATATTTCTATCGTATTAATATTATCCTTGAGGGCCGGCCACATAGCTCAGCAGACTAAAGCGCCTGCTTCGGCAGAGCGCAGGGGCTGGGGTTTGACCCCTGGCATGCTGTGCTGGCCCCGGGGTGCACTGAGATGCAACTGAGACTGGGTGTGGTGGCATCGCTTGAGATCCCAGCGCTTGGGAGGCTGAAAACAGGAGGATCACTATGAGTCCGATCTACATAGTGAGACCCTGTACACTCTGTACACCCTGTCCTAAATTCATATATATATATATATATATATATATATATATATATATCTTTGGTTGACAGAGAAAGAAACTGATGCTAATACAGGAGTTAGCTAAGGAATGGCCCAGAAAATTCAAACTCTGGTATGCCAGAGTTGGAAGATGCGCTACTGCGCATGGTATGGAGATAGAAGACAGGAAATATAAGAGAGGTTTGTGGTGTAGCCGGGCTGCATGGTGACATCGTGAGTTCAAGCCCAGCCTCAACTCCATGGCTAAAGCCTGTCTCAAAAAAAAAAAAAAAGTTTGTAGAACAACAGGTGTTTGCGTGTGTGTGTGTGTGTGCATGCACATGTGTGCTAATGGATTCAGAGGCTTAGGAAGAGTAGCAGGAAGGAGGGAGCCCCTTCTCACACACGCGCACACACACACACACACACACACACACACACATGCACACACGCGCACACATGGGAAAAAAAGGAGGGCGCCCCTAAAACTGAATCAACTTGTGCAACATGGATCTGTCAGGTACATAGGTGACTGCTCGAGGGCACTGTGACAGTGGCAGACAGGCCTATCACGGATGCAGTGGGCTCAGATACTAGTGAGGGAAACTAGTGGGGGAAACAAGCTGATAGGCAAATCAGATCAAGCCCCGAGGTCATAGCTGCTAAGATGAAAACACAACAGGTGCTGGTGCACACCCCTCATCCCAGCACCTGGGAGGCTGAGGCAGGAGGATCGCTGAGAGTTCAAGGATAGCCTGGGCTACATAGTGAAACACCCTCTCAACAAACAAACAAACAACAAAGGGCTGGAGAGATAGCTCTGTAGAGTAAGCGCCTGCCTGGCAAGCCCATGGTCCTGAGTTCAATTTGCGGTACCACAAAAAAAAAAAAAGAAGAAGAAGAAGAAGAAGAAGAACAAAATGACTAGGCTGGGGAGAGGGGACTTGTGTGGTCCGCAGAAGTGCCTGGAGACACAGCCTAAGGCGTGACCACCTCCTTCCTCTCTGGGGGGACTGCCTGCTGCCTTTGCACTCACCCATGGTTCATTGCCCACCGGGCCCCAGCTGCCCCGGCATCCCCTGCGCGGCAAAGCTGGGTGGCCCGGGGATCCTGGCTGCCATGCCACCTCCTCTCCTCCTCTCCGTCCTCCTCTTCCTTTTTCCCAAGGGAGTCAGGCCCCAGAAACCAGTGCTGGTGGAGGTGGAAGGTATGTCCGAAGGGCAGGGCGGGAAGGAATCTGGCCCAGAGGGCTCGTGGGTTCCACTGGGTGACCTCAGCTGAGTAACTCTCCCTCTCTGAGCCTCCATTTTATCTGTGAAATTCTGGGAGGGCCTGAGAGGACTGTGCGGGCCCATTACCCCCAGCTGCTGGGTCCTGCCTGCTTCCTGTGGGTTGGTCCGTTTCCATAGGAGGCTAAGCGTGTTCTCTCTCTCTCTCTCTCTCTCTCTCTCTCTCTCTCTCTCTCTCTCTCTCTCTCTCTCTCCCCCCCCCCCCCGGACACCCCCCCCCCCGACCCCTCACAGAGGGCGGCAATGTAGTGCTGCCGTGCCTGCGGAATCTGTCCAGTGCCCCCCACCCACCTGAGAAGATGGTCTGGTTCCAGGGCAACCAGTCGGCACCCTTCCTAGAGCTGAGCGTGGAGGTCCCTGGCCTGGGCATCCACATGGGACCTCTAGGCATCCTGCTGTTTATCTTCAATGTCTCTGACCAGATGGGGGGCTTCTACATTTGCCAGTCAGGACCCCCCTCCAAGAATGCCTCACAGCCCAGCTGGACTGTGAGCGTGGAGGGCAGTGGTGAGGGCTGGACCCAGCGGGGCATGGTCTGGTTGGGCTGGATGAGAAGAAGAAGGCCTGCCATGGACAGGGTGGGGGTGTCCGGCAGCCAGAGAGGGGCCAGAGGGCCAAGGGACAAGAAAGGAGCTGCAACTTTGTGACTTAATGCTGGGCCACCCCAGGTCTGTCCTCCTCCCCCTGCCCCTCTCTGTCTGTGCTTTCCTGGGCTCTGTCTCTCTCCCTGCTCCTAATGTCTCTCTGTTTGGTCCTGGGTCTCTTCCCAGGGGAGCTGTTCCGGTGGAATGCTTCAGACTTAGGGGACCTCAGCTGTGGTCCAGCCCCGGGGAACAGGTCCTCACCCACCAGCCCCAGGCTCTCTCCCCACCACCCCAACAGCTCCCAGCTGTATGTGTGGGACAAAGACCGCTCCAAGAGCAGGAAGGGAAAGTCAGTTTGTGCCCCGCCTAGGGGCAGTCTGAACCAGAGTCTCACTCAAGGTAAGGGGGCAGTGCTGGAAGATGCCAGAAGTGGGGTCCCAGGGTGGGGGATGGTGACTGGAAATTCAGGGAGATGAGCCCCCTCCCCAAGGGTTAGGCTTCCTTCATTTTATCTCTGCTCTCTCCAGACCTCACTGTGGCTCCTGGCTCCACACTCTGGCTGCCCTGTGGGGTGCCCCCTGCTCACGTGACCAGAGGCCCCGTCTCCTGGACCCAAGTGCACCCTAAGAAGCATCGCAGCCCACTGCTCAGGCTCTACTTGAGGGAGAACCCCCCAGCCCAAGAGATGTGGGTCCTAGGGTCTGCTCTGTCGCTTTCCCAGGTCACTGTGCAAGCTGCCGGTACCTATTACTGTTTCCGTGGCAACCTGAGCACAGAGATACACGTGAAGGTCACTGCCTGGTCAGGTACAGTTTGTCTTCGGGGTGCGGCATCTGTGTGGGGCTACTGGGAGAATACGGAGCCAATATTGAACCCAAACCTGAGGGCTAAGACTAGCGTCCCCTCCACACCCAACTTCTATGATGAACAATGACTCCAGCTCTTTCCTCTTTGGGTCTTCTAAGACCTGACTTCCTGGATCTCTGCCACTGGCTCCTCCTTCCCAGGAGCTTTGATGGAGGCTTTTTCCCCTGTCCCTCAATGTCGAAACCCTGGGCCAGGGGCCAGGGAGATGGCTCAGTAGAATAAGCACTTGCCTGGCAAGCACAAGGGCCTGAGTTCAATCCCAGGTTCTGCTAAAAAAAAAAAAAAAAAAAAGAAAGAAAGAAAACCCTGGTCCTTCTCATCCTGGTCTATGGACTCCTCTCATCCAATTCCCTTTATTCTCTTGGCTCCTTGGGTCACCATGTGTGGGTGACTCTACTCCAGGCCATCTCTGAATTGCCATTGGATGCCTCAAGAAAACCTCAGGCTCAGCACAGACAAAATAAAACACGGTGTCTTTCCCAACCAATCTCATACCTTGGGACTCCAAGTCTGTGTCTTGCTCCTGTCCCCAGACCCATGGTCCTTTGTATTCTTGAGGCTGGTAAGTAGGGTGCCAGTCTGGGGTCCTTGCTCATAACACCTCTTCCTTAGCAGTATGGCACTGGCTGAAGGAAAGCGGTGGCTGGAAGGTCCCAGTTGTGTCTTTGGTTTATCTGGTCTTCTGCCTGGGCTCTCTGGTGGCCTACCTTCATATCCGAAGAGGTAAGTCATGTCTCCAACCAGTTTGCCCAGGCCTCACTCCATCAGGCTGTGCCCACCCTGGCCAGCCTGGCAGTCATCTCCCTCTCTTCCCATCCCTCCCCTCTCCATCCCTCAACCCTGTCCCCCTACTCTTCTACCACCCCTCAAATTTCCCAAGTCCCCTGGAATTTGAACCACTTGTCTCCTCTATGACTTCCCCAGCACCCTGTCAAGCAGCCCCTCCTCTAATCATCCCCCTTAACTCCCACCAGCCCTGGTCCTGAGGAGGAAAAGGAAACGAATGACTGACCCCGCCAGGAGGTAAAGCAAGTCCAGCCCCTCCTTTCCTCTCTACCATCTTCACTTACTGCTCTCTCTCTCTCTCTCTCTCTCTCTCTCTCTCTCTCTCTCCCTCAATCTCTCTCTCTCTGTTCTTTGCTCCATCTCTACTAGCTGAAACATTGCCCAGGATCAAGGCCTGGGTGGGATGCAGGGTGTAGTGGCACACGTGTGGAATCTCAGCACCAGGGAGGCAGGAGGATCACTGCAAGTTCGAGGCCAGCTTGGGCTACATAGTAAGACTCTGTCTCAAAAACAGAACAAAACAAAACACCTTGGAACGATTCCAGACTCCGGTGGTGGCTGTCCCAGCACAGAGGAGCTAATCACAAGTGACTGAATCTTGAGTGGGTGCCCAATTCCCCTCTAGATTTAGCCTCACAGGGCACCTACCCTTCTCCGGACAGATTCTTCAAAGTGACTCCTCCCCCAGGAAACGGGACCCAGAACCAGTACGGAAACATGCTGTCCCTTCCCATGTCCACCTCTGGCACAGGTAAGGAGCTCCTGGCTGGCCCCGCCCCCAGCATAAAGCCCCACCCAGCCACAGAGCTCCACCCACTGTCTGGATTCCTCCAATCCCCTGAGCCCAAGCTTTCTAGAGCTCGGAGCCCCTCCCACAGGGTGCAGGGGGTGCTACCCACAGGTGGCTCCGCCCCCAGGACTCCACCCCTCAATGCCAGGGCAGACCAGTACCCTAGAACTCGAAGCTGCACCCCCAGATATAGATCTAGCCCCATGGTTCAAGGCCAGGCACCCAGAGTCCCTGCCAAAGCCTAAACATCCCCCTCCACTGACTCCTTGCAACACCACTCTTGCCAGGGCGCACTCAGCGCTGGGTGGCGGCTCTGGGGGGCACCGTCCAGTCATACAGAAATCCGCGCAACGACATCCAGGAGGCTGGAGCCGTGGGGTCTCGGAGCCCCTCGACAGCGGGTGAATGAAAGGGTTCATTCCTCGCTTGGAGGGTGTTTTAAGGGTTTGTGACAGGAAGGGTGGGCTGGAGTGAGGGGAGGAGGACTGTGACTCAGTTTCCCCCCTCCTCTCCAAACCCCCAGGCCTGGAAGAAGACGAAGGGGAGGCTTATGAGGAGCCGGACAGCGAGGAGGGCTATGAGAATGACCAGCTCTCCCAGGGTAAGGCCGCCAGCTTCCGCACTTCCCCTGGCTCCCTAGGGGCGGGTAGCGGACCCTCGCTGGACACCCCTCCTTCTCACAGATGGCAGCGGCTATGAGGACCCGGAAGACCGGCCCGTGGCTTCTGCTGATGAGGACTCCTTCTCCAACTGTAATTTGGGGTCTTTGTGGGGCCTTAGAGACGCGGGCGGTCCCACTTCACTGCAGAACCCCTAGCGGAAAGTAGGGTTCCCTGGAGCTCTCTTTCTTCTGCTGCAGCTGAGTCTTATGAGAACGCGGATGAAGAGCTGGCCCAGCCAGTAGCCAGAACCACAGGCGAGTGGGAGGGACAGGCAGCTCCGGGGCTGGGGGAGACCTGGAAGCCTGGACACGTCGTGACTCCCCCTTGTCTTTTCTAGACTTCCTAAGCCCCCATGGATCTGCCTGGGACCCCAGCCGGGAGGCAGCCTCCCTTGGTGAGAGATGCCTGGGACTAGGGCTAGCCCGTGTGCCCAGCCAGAAACAAGTCACCTGCCGCTTTGCTGCTTTGACGCTATGAGCAGCCTTGGCCTGACCCTGACTGGAACCCAAGCTCGACCCAATGACAGATTTTATGCCTGACTCTAATCTCAACCCTGATTCCAATCCCAAGCCTGACCCTTGGAGTTTATGGCCACTAAACTTGAGTATCAGCATTGAACCCAGTCTGTTGCAACCTAAAGTTTTGGCTGGGTGTGATGACACATGTTACAGTCTCAGCACCCGGGAGAAGCTGAGGCAGGAGGGTTGCTGTGAGTTCGAGACCAGCCTGGGCCATGTAGCAAGACCCTGTCTCAAAAAGATAGAAAAAATAAAGTTCTGACCTCACCCTGGCCCCAAGGCAACCTTCAAATTGACCACAGCTACAACTGCCTCGCACCCACCTGACTCCTCCTGGTTTTGTACTTGAGCATTCTCCAACCATACCCATGTCTGTCCCATACCAAACGCTGACCATACAGCCAATCAGGACCCAACCCCAGGCTGTCATAATCACTCCTGGTACAAGAAGGGGGAGCCCCCACCTTCCCCTGGGGTGGGTGGCACCTTCTGTCCCAGGCCCTCAGTGTGGCCCCTGGCCTTCCAACTCTCCATCCCCTGCCCAAGCAGGGTCCCAGTCCTACGAGGATATGCGAGGGATCTTGTATGCAGCCCCCCAGCTCCGCTCCCTTCAGCCTGGTCCCCATCATGAAGAAGGTGGGTGCTTCTGCCACTGTCGCTGGCTGTCTGCTGGGTCTGCCTCCCCTCCCAGCCTACTTCCGCCCTGCCCCCCCCCACTCTTTCCTGGTCCTTCCTATCTAGATGCAGACTCTTACGAGAACATGGATAATCCTGATGAGCCAGAGCCAGCGTGGGGAGGAGGGGGCCACATGGGGGCCTGGAGCACCAGGTGACAGGGTGAGCTGGATGCTGCCCCTGGGAGTGGGGAACTTGCACTAAGAAGAGAGTGCTAAGGAGGGATGGGAGGGATGCTGGGATCGGGGAGGGAGGTGGGAGGGTGTCAGGGCCTGGCGGGCAGGGGAGGGCCCCAGAGCCCTCCTCACCCACGTCCCTTCTATGTAGCTTGGGCTTCCTTAGGCCTCTGGAGGGACTTTGCTTAGGATGTGTGTGTGTGTGTGTGTGTGTGTGTGTGTGTGCGCGCGCGCGCGCGTGTGTGTGCATGCCCCCTTTTGCTTTTCCCAGATAGACTAAATGACCGCTTCCCATCCATTGTGTAGCACCATTGCATGGGAGGGAAGGAAGGCAAGGCTGGGTCTTCTCCTGCCCCCTCTCACGTCTCCCCAGGAAAGAAGGGCAGCACTGCACGCACGGTGCTGCTTTGTCCCTCCTGTGGTCGGTTCAGCCACTTGCCTCATTACTATAGCTCACCCGATTCCCCTCAGAGACGAAGGACAGACTAAGTCCTTGGCCTCTAGCCTGGTGCACGTTAAAATCATGGCTTGAAAAAAAATCATGGCTTGTGTTTGCTCTAGAGGCTGGGAGGGTCTGGGAAGCTGTTTTTGTTAGAGAAGGGAGAGAGAGAGAGACAGAGACAGAGACAGAGAGAGACAGACAGAAATAGAGACAGACAGACACTACAGATGCTTAATGGATAGCTAAAATCCGAGCAAAGCTTGACCTACATTTTGCACCTGTCCCCTTTGTTACCTTGACGTTCTGTGAGAGGTCACAGGTCAGCTCTGCAGGTAGACATGTTCATCATTGAGGGCGTGTTGGTCTCACGGCTGGTGACACAAGATTGACGAGCCCTAAATGTATTGAACCAGTCTCATTCCCTTTGGAGACGGAGGACGCCAAGATAAGAGTTGTGCCGGGATGTGCAGCGACCGATGGGTGCCCAGAAGTCTCCAGTCTCCTGTTCGGAGTCCCAGCAGAGCCGCTGCAAAACTGAAGCTGACCTGGGCAGAACCAGTCCCCGCTTGAGGCCACACGGCCCCTTCACGCGGTGAGGACTTCTCCCTCCCGCGGCCGTGTTGCAAAACCGGAACTGAGATCGTGCTGAGCCCCCAGCCCCGGCAGCATCCGCTCCTCCGTGGAAGCAGGCCCTGTTCCCAGTCGGTGGGCCAGTCGGTCACAGATGTACCTCCTTCATCCAGCTCCTCCAGTGGAAGCTCTTTCTCCGTTTTCTGATACTTTCTAACCCTGCCTAATAAATCAGCCTAGCCTCTCAGCGATGTTCAGCAGTGCTTTTCTGCGATGATACGTCAAGAGCTGAGGTTTGCAATTCCATTCATCTATTTATTTGTACTGCAGGTTGATCAGGTTGATCGCAGTCTTTGCTACATACTCTCCCAGCCCTTTGGATATTTTATTTTGAGATAGGGTCTCCGCATATCGCCTAGACTGGGATTGAACTTGCAGTCCTCCTGCCGCAGCCTCCCCTAGTGCTCAGATTACATTAATAAACCATAATGCCTGGCTCCCATCTCCATTTTATTTTT